TTAATTAGCGCTAACGAAGCATCCACTCACCTTGACGGGCTGTGCGGGCGTGGGGATGACGGGCGGGTGTGGCTGCAGGGGTTGCGGGGCCGGGGCGGGCGCGGGGGCCTGCGGGGCCGGCGGGGGCGGCGCGGGGGGCTGCGGAGGCACCATCGTCATCACCGGGCTGGGCACGATGAGGTCGGGGGTGACGGAGGGGAAGGGATGTGCCGGCTGTGCCGACGGGAGGCTCGGCGGCGGCGCCGGCGGCGGCACCGGGGACGAGGCCTGGGCGACGTTGGGGACCGAGGACGAGCCGGGTTTGGACGTCACTGCAGAGAGAACACACGGGGGGGTGTGGGGTTGATTCCTGCCCTCTTCCAGCTGAGCCGTTGGAATGGGAATTCCCGTGGGCTCCCCAGGGAATTCCCGTGGCACTGGGAGCTCGTGGTTCCCCAGGGAATTCCCATTGCTCTGGGAGCTCGTGGTTCCCAGGGAATTCCTGTTGCATTGGGGGCTCATGGCTCCCGGGGAATTCCCGTTGCATTGGGAGCTCGTGGTTCCAGGGGAATTCCCATCACATTGGGAGCTCGTGGTGGTTCCCCAGGGAATTCCCGTTGCATTGGGAGCTCGTGGTGGTTCCCCAGGGAATTCCCGTTGCATTGGGAGCTCGTGGTGGTTCCCCAGGGAATTCCCGTTGCATTGGGAGCTCGTGGTTCCCGGGGAATTCCACTGGGAGCTTGTGGCTCCCCAGGGAATTCCTGTGTCACTGGGAGCTCATGGCTCCCCAGGGAATTCCTGTTGCTCGTGGCTCCCCAAGGAATTCCCGTTGCACTGGGAGCTCGCGGCTCTCCGGGGAATTCCCGAGCTCATGGTTCCCCAGGGAATTCCCGTTGCACTGGGAGCTCGTGGTGGCTCCCCAGGGAATTCCCATTGCATTGGGAGCTCGTGGCTCCTGGGGAATTCCCGTTGCACTGGGAGATGGTGGTGGTTCCCCAGGGAATTCCTGTTGCTCGTGGCTCCCCAGGGAATTCCCATCATGCTGGGAGCTCGTGGCTCCTGGGGAATTCCCGCTGCACTGGGAGATAGTGGTGTTTCCCCAGGGAATTCCTGTTGCTTGTGGCTCCCCAGGGAATTCCCGCTGCACTGGGAGCTCGTGGTTCCCTGGGAAATTCCCGTTGCTCTTGGCTCCCCAGGGAATTCCTGTGTCACTGGGAGCTTGTGGTTTCCCAGGGAATTCCTGTTGCTCGTGGCTCCCCAGGGAATTCCCGTTGCACTGGGAGCTCGTGGTTCCTGGGGAATTCCACTGGGAGCTCGTGGCTCCCCAGGGAATTCCTGTGTCACTGGGAGCTCGTGGCTCCCTAGGGAATTCCTGTTGCTCGTGGCTCCCCAAGGAATTCCCGTTGCACTGGGAGCTCGTGGCTCTCCAGGGAATTCCTGTTGCTTGTGGTTCCCCAGGGAATTCCCGTTGCACTGGGAGCTTGTGGCTCCCCAGGGA